AAGGAAATAACAAGGCACAACTTGGGAGCTGGATCAACAGACTACAGCTTGGAATCAGGAAGCACGTAGGTGAGATCTGCAAGACTTACCTGCAAATGAGAGCACATCTCCTCCCATCTTCAAACAGGCCTTTCTTTTGGCCCTGCATTCTCTTTCTGATTCTTCATGGCAGGCTTCCTTTGAGACCTCCCACTTGGCTTCTGTAGACAGTACTTCCCTCAGCCCCTTCAGGACAGCCTTCTGGTTGGTGCAGTTAGGATAGGCTTCCCTCAGCATCTTCAGCACCTATCTCTTCTCATACCCCTTAGGAGCCCTCTCTGCCTTTGGCCTCCCTGCCATCAGCCTCTCCGCTGCTAACTAACCAAACTCATGTCCAGTAAGGTGTTGTTTTCAGTCCTCTGAGCTACATTCCTAGAACCAGGTTTTACCTTCCCACTGATGAAGCCTGTCACTATCAAACTCTGTCGAGGATACCTTCGCTGCTTGTCATTACTGACTCTGCAGCAAGGTCTCTTCTGGGCCTCTCATATTGGTGGCATGGTTATTGGCCCATGTTATAGCTCTTATTAGGAGGTTCCTCCCCAACTGTTTGTTTCTTCTCTCTTCTTACCTTTCTTGACTATTCTCCTTTCTATTTCTGTCAACCTCTGTGGAGTTGGCTACAAGCTCCTTCTTAATTTTAAGCCCTCCCATCAGGTCTACAAACTGATCTATCCTCTCCAGGTGGGCCACAAGACACTTAACTTGCATAGTAAGCCACAGTCACTTCATTGGCACAGTCTTTAGCCATTTCATTTACATAGTATAGTGACCAACCCCTGAAATGTATTTAAGAGAGCCCAGTGAGTACAGGCTATAGCCCAGGCCAGACAAAAAGTATGAAATCATAAGTTGTGTAGAGTTTTCCTAGTGGATCCAATCAGCCTGGACAAAAGTAACAAACCTCAGAGCTCACTGGTGGGTGGAGGGGAGGGCGGGGAGAATCTGTAGCTGTTTTCCATACAATAAGAAATTCATTTTGCCCCAAGTGGTTATCACTAGCTGTGTTTTCTAGTCTTCTCTAGTCAGTTCTAAAGTCTAGGTCTTAATTGTCAGAAGAGCTTGACTGTTGTAGTGACACATAATTTCTAGAATGCAGAGTATAATCCATTGAATGCCTCATTTGTATAATAAATAAATTTAATACCTGCTTACTACTCTGAGATTAGATATTTAGAAAATGCACACTACCTATGTGTATGTCATAAAAATCAATAATGGCCCTAACTAATAACTCTGAAACTGTTATCATCCCGTGGTGCATCTTTCAACTCCCGTGCGCATGTACCACAACAATACAAGACAGAATAAAGCAGTCAGATTTTTGCACCTATTAAATTTTTTTTTACCTATTTTTAATGCATGTATTTTGATGTAAGAAAATTTTGGATTCTGGTAACGTTTAAATAAAGTTTGAACTTGTTAGCACTTATCCTTGTATTTGAAGAGGAACCCTGGTGGCCTAATGATTAAGAAGCTGGCTGTTAACTGAAAGTTTGGTTGTTTGAACTCACATAACACTTCTCTGGAAGAGAGAGCTGGTGATCTGCTTCCATAAAGATTACGGTCAAGAAAAACACACGAGACGATTCTGCTCTCTCCCTTGGGATCAATTTGGTGATACGCAACAACAGCACAATTCTTACCATTCTGTGCACAACAGAACGAAACACTGCCTGCTCTTTAAAATTGTTGTGATGCTTGAGCTCGTTGCTGTAGCCAATGTGTCAGTCCACCTGTTCACAGGTCGTCCTCTGCGGGGCTGACCCTCCACTTTACCTCACGTGGTGTTCTTCTCTAGGAACTGGTCTCTGCTGACAATGTGTCTACAGTACACGAGACGAGTCTTGGCACCCATGCTCTTCAGGAGAATCCTGGCTGTCGTTCCTCCTGGACAGATGCTGGTAGATCTTGGCTGTAAGCAGAGATATCAGGAAGGTGTTTACTTGTGTTTTCTCGACTATTGCAAAGGCATTCCAGTGTGTGGATACTATCAAACTATGGACACCATTGGGAAGAATGGGAATACCAGAACACTTAATAATGCATATACAGAACCTGCACACACAGAAGCTTCCATTTCAACAGAACAAGGGTATACTGCAAAGTTTAAAGTCAGGAAAGGTTTATGTTGGGATAATATCTTTTCATGGTCCTTACTCTATTTGTTGAGAACATAATTTGAGAAACTGGACTATTTGTAGTAGAATAAGGCATCAGGATTGAATAAAGACTCATAACCTATAAAATTCAGGTGACCACCTTGCATATGGAAAGCCAAGAGGACTTGAAGCATTCACTGTTTAATATAAAAGAATCAGCCTTCAGAGCAGAGACAAGGCAGTGGCTGCACATGTACTCAAAAGAATGTTGAGAGGTGGAGAGGATGGGTCACTGGCTGGCCTGACATAAGATGCAGGATCCTAAATCTGAAGCCAAGTGGAAGGACATCTTATGCAAAAGGGTGTCATGTCCTCAAAGGAAAGTTCAAAACAATTAGAAAAGAAAGAATACAAGAAGCAGCGAATCCTTCAATCAGTTGTGAAAACGCATGAAGATAGGACTTTGGAAGAACTTGAGGAAAATGACGATGAGTTTAGAGACATTTTTAGAGATCTCAGCAAAAGATTATGTTTAAGAAGTTACCACTGCTGGTGAGGGCTTATGGGTAACCTTGCACCTCTGCAGACAAAGGATTCTCCCCTGTGCTCTGTTAAATCAGCACCTTAGTGGACTTGCGACGAAGTTTCTGGATGTTAAATTTATCAAAGTCATTTCAACAGTGTGCATACCCAATTACCCTGATAGGAATTGTTCACAATATTTGTTTGTCTTGAAGGACATACCCTTTTATTGATCCTCTATTGTTTGATCACATGAATCTGACAAGAAATGCAGTAGAGTGGAAATTGACTGACTGGAGCAATCAAGACAGACCTGGAAGAAAACCCTAAGCTTTTAAGAACCTAGACACTATTTCTGATAGCTGACACCAACTGCTTTCTTCACCGCACTTGATAAAGGACCCGTTTATCTGCCCTGACACCTTCGTGAGGGTGAGTATTGGAAAAAATTGTATCATAAGAAGTGGTTGTCCTTACGCTAGGGCTTGTGGCAAAGTGGGAGCTCAAAGTGCATCCACATATTAGGAAAATATCTATCTATCTTCAAAATGCCATTCCCAGAGTAGTAGACCATATTCAAAATGACCAAGGGTAGCCCATTTCAATTCACTGCTGCCTAGCCTGTGAACTTTCAGGTGTTCCATTTCATTTTGACAACTTCTAGTTTGCCAAGATTAATATTTCATACATTTCACATTCCAATTATTAATGAATATGTTCCACTGTTTCTCCTCATTTTTAGTCATAGCATGGCAGCAAACAAAGGGCACCACGTTGTCCTTCATCCATATCATTAAGATCGTCTCTACTTTTCCATCCCCAAACCTCCTTCACCGACAGCTGCAGCCATCCACAGCCTGGCCCTGTGAATAGCGTGACACAGAGACCAGCGGGACTGAAGTGAGCGGGGAGACAATCTCCTTTAGAAGGCCGGTGGGTGTGCTTGACCCAATGGATTGTGATAAGAATTATACGAACCCCCAATAAAATGATTAAAAAAAAAAAAGAATAAAGTCCCTACCACTCGCTCAATCTTGAAAATGGAAAAAAAGAAGAAGAAGGCTTGTGGGGTGACAGGGGAGCCCTAAAAGAAACGGGGCAAGCCATGGGGAGGTTCTCTAACTTGTTAAAGTTGCTGAACGTAAAAAGATGACCTGTTATAGAAACCCACACCTGTTTCACAGTAAAGCTTGAAAAAAAATGTTTTTAATGTCTTTACTTTGAGGAGGCAGCTCTTCCATAGTCGGTGTTTGCGTGTCTTTCAAGAGGAGGCTCAACTCCTGATCGTGTTTCGCTAGTGTTCATAACGTTCTCGATGCCCTAAGTGGATCACATTTAATACTACAGATCACCAGATTGCTCTTGGTCTATCTTAGTTCAGAAATTCCACTGACATCTGTCCATCATGAGGGACTCTGCAGGCATTTGGCATACTAGTAACATAGCTTCTAGCATCACAGCAACATCCAAGCCACAGTACAACATATTGACAGACTCACTAAACAAACTAGACTAAACGAAATGCACTAACATTCAGTCAACACTGGTTCATAGCGACCCTGTAGGACAGAGTCGAATGGCCCTTGGGAGTTTCTAAGACTAAATCTTTACAGCCCTAGAAAGTTTCATCTTTGCCCATATTGTTTGACTTAAACACAAAAATAGAAACAAAACAAAAAAACACTGCCATGGCCTCAATTCTGACTGAAGGTGACCCAGTCATGCCTTTATTATTTAAAAGAAACAAATATGATTTTAGAAGCCCAAGAAGCAATATTACAAGCAGATTTTAAGTGACAGTGACGACGCTACAAGAAAGTTTGAGGCAATTGAAATGTCAGTGAAGAAAACCAAAACCAAACGTAGTGCCGTCCAGTCAGTGCATTCAGGTAGGTCTCCTGCAGGAAATGTTTGGTATCAGTTTGAATTCATGAAAAATATGAAGTGGCCCAGATGTGGCAAAGAGGCGCAGAGATTCACATATGTCGCTACGTACCGGGCCGTGCTGCTTATTGTGGCGCTGGAGAGGGGGCGCTGAGCTGTTGGGTATGAAGTGTAACAGAACAGACTTTACCACCTGAAACTGCTACTTCAAGTTCAGATCAGGCAAGGAACAAACCTCGTAACAGCCAACAAGACCAAAGAAGAGTACACTTAAGTTGAAGACACAACATTTGATCTGAAACAAGAAGTTTGTGCCTACTCAACAGCTTTGAAGGAGCACTTCCCAACGCTGCTGGTCGTCTTTGCTTTCTTCAGTGCTGTACTGAGAGTGCCCGGTGCAGCAGCAGTCTACTCTATTAGCTTGATAGATCGCTTTTCTCTCACACTTTTTTTAATACTAGCAACTTTCATCCTTTGAAACGTGTGCTGAAAAAGAAGAATCAGCAAATACGACTGAAAGTGCAATATTTGATTATCGCTGCAAGATGAGCTTTGATCCAAACCTTCTCCACAACAATGGACACAATGGGTACCCCAATGGTACTTCAGTAGCATTGTGTGAAACTGGGGTTATTGAAAAACTGCTAACCCCTTATGGATTTATTCAGTGTTCAGAATGTCAAGCTAGACTATTCTTCCACTGTTCACAGTATAATGGCAACCTGCAGGACTTAAGAGTAGGAGATGATGTTGAATTTGAAGTATCATCTGACCGGCGGACTGGGAAACCCATTGCTGTTAAACTGGTGAAGATAAAACCAGAAATCCTCCCCGAAGAACGAATGAATAGACAAGAAGTGTTTTATCTGACATACACCCCTGAAGATGTTGAAGGCAATGTTCAGCTAGAAACCGGAGATAAAATAAACTTTGTAATTGACAACAATAAACATACTGGTGCTATAAGGGCTCGTAATACTATGCTCTTGAAAAAGAAGCAAGCTCGCTTTCAAGGAGTAGTATGTGCCATGAAGGAGGCGTTTGGCTTTTTTGAAAGAGGCGATGTTGTAAAAGAGATATTCTTTCACTACAGTGAATTTAAGGGTGACCTAGAAGCCTTACAGCCTGGAGATGACGTGGAGTTCACAATCAAGGACAGAAATGGTAAAGAAGTTGCAACAGATGTCAGACTTTTGCCACAAGGGACAGTTATCTTCAAAGATATCAGCATTGAACATTTTGAAGGCACTGTTACCAAAGGTATCCCAAAAGTACCCAGTAAAAACCAGAATGACCCATTGCCAGGATGCATCAAAGTTGATTTTGTAATTCCTAAAGAACTTCCCTTTGGAGACAAGGATACAAAATTCAAGGTGACCCTGCTGGAAGGTGACCATGTTAGGTTTACTATTTCAACAGACAGATGTGACAAATTAGAACGAGCAACTAATATAGAAGTTCTATCCAATGCATTTCAATTCACTCATGAAGCCGGAGAAATGGGTGTGACCGCTGCCACGAGAGAAGGGTTTGGTTTCATCAAGTGTGTGGATCGTGATGCTCGCATGTTCTTCCACTTCAGCTCCATATTGCCGATGAAGTCGAGTGTACTGTAGTTCCTGATATGCTCTCTGCCCAAAGAAATCATGCTATTAGGATTAAAAACTCCCCAAGGGCACGGTTTCATTCCATTCCCATTCCGGTCATCGTTCTCTGGGCACTGTAGAAAAAGAAGCCACTTTCCCCAATACCCAAACCACCAGCCCAAATAAAGACAAAGAGAAGGAGGCTGAGGATGGCATCATTGCCTCTGATGCTTGTGCGGTGAAACTGACCATTGCTTTTGAAGCCAAGGATGTAAAAGGATCTACTTCTCCTCAAATAGGAGATAAGGTTGAATTTAGTATTAGTGACAGTCCACTTAACAAAGTTTGGTTAGATATCTGTGAACTTAACAAAGTTTGGTTAGATATCTGTGAAATTATCTTCCAGAGTAGTTTTTTTTCCCCCTAG